TCGAACCAATGTGGCCAGACAAAGATGAACTTAGATTGGTTCATGAATTTGTTCGAATTGTTCATGAATTCTGTCCATCTTTGTAATTCATGAACAAAGATGAACAAGTGGCCAGACATGCACAGAATTTGAAGGGGAACCTCCCCAGATTTGAACTCTGTGCCACGTGGTTTGACTTTCCACGTTCAGGCTTCAGGATCAAGTCTTTTCTTGGGGAAATTGGGGGCCAATGTCCTGCTAACATGCGGTCACGTGCTAATGCCATCCCAGTTATAGCCAAAAGTGTGTGCAATGATGGGATTTGTGGGTGAGTTGGTCGTCACACTTGCTATCTGAGGTTTTGCTAAAAGAGGTTCTCCACCCGAAAATCGAGAGGATGAGACTCTTCCTGACTTTTTGGGCGCCTGTCGACCAATGGACCTCCCTTCGTAGCCCATAGACCGGACTGAGGCACGGAACACGGAACCGCGGCACGGCCGACGAACGCAGCGGAACGCGCTGTCCAAGGCCGGCGATGCGACCCTCATCATCCTGGTCTCCCCCCAAGCAGCGGGGCATCCCAGGGAGCAGCGAGCATCCCATTCGACGGGCCGATGGAGGTGTTCAATGATGCCGGATCACACTTTTGCTGTGCAGGATGTTGCCTGTATGTAACAATGTAGTGATCGTCATACCCAAAAAATACTGGCTGGCATCAGATAATGCAAGGATCACAACATACCCCCGGAGTCTCACACAGCACTGAGCCCACTGTCCAGGCAGAGTGCCCCACCGAGCCCACCCAGAAAAAGTGCTTGCCTCAGCATGGAGTAGTACTGAGTAGTGGCGCAAGATGGCGTTGACGAGTTGATTTTTGTGTTTTACGGATGCTTATAGCCACTATAAATGGCCCTTTACTATTGGTTGGTTGATTAATAGAGGGGATACCCCCGGTCGTGTAGAACCAAGTCTGGTCAATTGTTCCTAGCACCGACCTATTATTCCAAAGTACGGACGTTGCTTTTAGCTACACCAGTGTACAAGACTCCCCGATCCACCACGAACGACCAGATCGGAAGGTCCAGATACGTCAGCAAATTGGTACTTAGCGAGGAAGCGCCCTGGGCCATACTGTGGTCTGAAAGATCTTAGGATTGGAACAAATCTGGTTTGGACAAGAAGCACTGGTGGGTCTGAGAATGTTAGAACGATCCATTCCAAGCTAACTGAGTTAGTCTGTCTTTGCGTTGGAGGCTTCCAATTCTTTTAGTGGACATTGACATTGCCTTTCCATCGTGCCAGAATCCAATCACCCACTTAGACCATCACATCCTGCTAGCAGAGATGGATAGATATGGACATGATATGTAACAAGAAGCTACGTTCGGGGCTCCTGGCCTTACTACGAACGGAGCGATCGGACGCTATGAACGGGGTCCTGGCATCGCGACTCGAACGGAGCCACGCACGACGGGACCGTGGGCGGTTCGGATCGCGGGACAACGAGAGCCAGGTCCTCGGGGCCATGGCGTGGGACCTCGGCGCTCGTGCTTCAGTGGTTGCGCTGAAAACTGGGGTGATAGCACTGGTGGAAGTGGTGGGACGGGGTCAGGCTTTTAACATCCTGGAGTCACGTCTCGAACGGCTATTCGTGGTGTCTTTCCAATTGGCTCACCTTTTTAGTGGGTCTTCTTTGAGGTCCTGTAGATAGCACCATTACTGGTGCGGAGCCCGCTCGTTTTTGAGATACGTACACACTGAGTCTGACTCATCACCTCTTTCACAGATGAGAGGCAGGCTTTTTGAGACATACCCGCAACCAAAATGGACAGCCGTGGCCCAAGAACCAAAAATTAAAGCATTGCAAAGACATTTCCAAAGGGTCTACTCAAGTATAGTATAGTTGTTTGTTTCGTGCAACTGGGCTCTCTTTTGCAGGGTTCCAGCCATCGACCACCGCCCCTCTGAGGTGAGGCCCGATCGTACCTGCCGCCGACGACGTCGATGTCCCGTGCCACTGGCAACGGTTTTTGCTCGTCACTGCTGGGGTCAAGCGCGCAAGAGAAGCGCGCAAGATGCAGAAAGAAGGACGCAGCAAGCTCAGTGCCCGTAGTCTTCCCCCGTTTTCTCAACTAAAACACTCACCTTTTGGATAGCTTTGGATGAGGATGAGGCCTCCTGGCCTAGTGGGGCTGTCTGAGTTTTCGGGGGATACACCGATGAGAAAAGGACATGGACCGAAGTGAGTCCAAGCAGATGAACATGGGCAGTGAAGAACGAGTCCAACGAGTCCGAGCACATCGACTGATGTGACGGTTGAAAGCATCGTTTCGGACCAACACCTTTGCTGAGCATGGTTCCCTGGTTGGGCAACTCATCCTTGAAGCAGGTTCAGCATACATCACCAGGACCTGAAGTATCAACCCTCACACAACTCGGAGATTTCGGGAAAATACCATAAAAATACCAGAGCGCACGTCCTTTATGACAGGAAGCAGCAGCTTCAAGCAGTCGGGATCCCAGCTGCAAAGCTTCTGATCCATTTCACTCCGCCGTTTTCAGCGGTGGTTTGCAGGTCTTGGTTGAGGCACGCTCACATTCTAATTAATAAGGGCTTGCGTGTGTTTGGACTGGCATACGGAGGGCGATGAACATCGGTTCACATTGTGGATGGTTCGGCTGGTCGGCTTCTTCTTCCAAAGGCTCGTTAGGTGGTTCTATTTAGTAGATGGCTGGTTTGCACCTCCCAAATGAAGTTCCACCCTGAGCTGCCTGGCAATGCAGGGCTTGTTGTAACTATCAACGTGTGGTGACACAAACAATTGTGAACCATTTACTCCAACTCTGGCAGAAAGATCCTCACCAAAAGAGCTGGAACCTTTCAACGGAACCTTTTTCAGTTGAAGATCGAAGGCCCACCGAGACCAGGCGACCCGTGCCGAGACCGTGCCGATGCTTCCTCCCGTCTCTCAGGCCAGAGCCACCGTCCAACGGCACAGACGAAGTGGATGAGATGTGGCGATGCTTGTTCCGTGGCGAAGAGGATGCTCTGAAGTTCTTGGTGCGTAGGAAAAAAAACACATGTCCATGCCAAGGGAGAACTTTTTTCGTTGGAAATTGGAGTGTTCGTCATCAAGCCCTACTGCAGCGAAGCTTCCGTGGGTCTAGTGAGCTCAATGAGCACTCCGCACATGGGGCGAACTTTGTTGCATGCTTCTCTGCCAGCGGGTCGGTAGCTACAAACTCGACCGCTCCAAAGTGTCACAGCCTCGATCGCTCCAACGCTGAGGCTTCAACGTTTCCCTCAGTATCCTCACTGGTGCCTGGTGAAGGCGCTAATCGCCCTTTGATGCGACTGTGGAGGATGTAGGTACCCTAGAAACGCATGAGGATTAGGCTGGTGAACACCTCGAGGGAGATGAACACGAGTGCGCGGATTGCACCGTCTAGCCATTTGGATGACCCCTAATCAGTGCGGCACACTGGTCCAAAAAACCCGGAACCGGTAGGTCGACCTGGGAGGTCTCCCTGTTTTAAGACACATCTATGTGGGTACTATAAGTATACTACTATAAGTATATATAGGACACCCTGTTTCTATATGTACTCGTACTATATCGGTGGGCTCGCTGGAGATCGTTGGCGATGCGGAGGGACATCGACGACGGCTCCGATTCTCTCCAGTGAACTGGGCACCGGAGAGATGGTCACAGAATCTCATCCAAGGTGAATACGTGCTATATCCGAGTGGTTTGTAGGTTGAAGCTTCATTTTCCTCAAAGCGGTCAGCTGCTGGTCTGGGTCATCTCCAGGTTCCAAATCGGTTTCTTGGCGTGCGGATGTCAACCCGAAATTTCACCTCAGAGCAAGCCAGCTTGCTTAAATCAAGCATGAACACGTCTGAGAGAGGGACATCCTCGTGTAAGAACCTAAAGGTGAGTCGATTGGCTGGTGAGATTTGGGCTTCAGCAGTGAGAATCAAACTTAGGAATGAGGGATACAGTAATGAGGATAAGGGTCAAACAAACCTGCAGAAAGCCAGAACGCGCTGAATAGTGGTCTAGTAGTCGGAACATTGATACATCTATGCACTACGACGGAGAGAACCCGCAATCCAAATAGCTTACCACTACAAAATCAGTTTTCATGTCGTTGCCCCCCCCACCTTTTCCAGGAGAGGCGTTGCGTGTACCGCATGGCCAGTGCGGAGAACCCGGTAAGACGAGGGGGGGGCGCATCGCATGAATGCTGCGCAGCGGTTCTCGCCTGGTTTGGAAGCTTTCTATTATGTATTTATAGTGTGTTCTTTTTCCGACAGGATATACCAGTAAGACAGTAGGCGTTAATTGACCTATACTGTATACCTATAGTATCCTATAGTAATGCACTAGGCGTCCGAAACCATCCGGGCCGGAGCGCCTTGTTACGCCTTGCTACTTTGGGGAGCTCAGCTCATTCTAGGCCGCGCTTTTCAATGAGTTGGCCGCTGGCCCTCCGAATGAGTTGTCCAATGCCTCAAACTCACAATCTGTTCAGTTGGATGGTGCCACAAGTAGAGGGCTTGAGGCCCCCGGATCCATCGGTCGTGGGTGTTCGGTGTGTCCACGGCTTGAGGCCAGACCGGGAAGAAGGTGGTCTGCCGCGTGTCGCCCGGTGGACTGCAGGCGCCCGGTGGAAGGAAGAGAAGTGGTCTGAGCTCAACTTGCTGATGAGAACCTTATTGCAGAAGCTCATTGGATAATGACATAATAATGAGGGTTCCCAAACACCTCCAAAGCTTTTTTCGAGGCAGATATTTCTCTGGTGTACTGTTGGTGGTCCTTTCTGAGGGTCTTGAAGTGAAAAAGGGGTCCAAACTGCCTCTTTGGTCTGCTGTTTTGGAATAACCCCGGCCATCCCACGCTGCGCGGGCACCACATACGGGGTTCCACCCAAAGAGTGGGTCCAGAGGCGAAGCAGTACCTCTCGCCTGGCTGAGCTCGGCTTGATTCGTTGGAGAGGTGCGTGTGGGCGGTGGCTGGATGGCGGCCTTGCCCTTCTTGGAGCGCTATGGGCCACTGCACATGGGCGCTCGAAGTGGAGAGGATCCACATTTCAACTGCCGGGAATCCCGCGAACGAGTTCGTGGGTTGCCGGATCTGTGTGCTGGGGCGGCTGGGGTGGTGGATGTCACCTGGATGGTGGGGTGGCACTGATAGGCACCCACTTTGGATGTGTTTATATAGATTATAGATGGTTTAGCCATGGAACATGGTCCAAATGATCAAGGTCTCGTTTCTGGATGAATCTGCAACGTTGTTGATCGACATACAGATGGAAAAAGGACCCACACCTCATCTACAGTCCAAAAAGTTTAAGGACGGACCACCCCTTAGAAGCCTTACTTACTGAACTTCCACCCAAAACTTCCCCTCCAACCTCCAAACTTCCCCTCCTTCCCACTTCCTACAAACCTGCCGCCTGCCCGCCCCCCTCCTCCACGCCCGGAGGGTCCGAGCCGAGCCGAGCCGAGCTCGTCCGGGTCCCGGTCGGGTTGGACGAGGCACGTCGGTGGATCTGCCACCCTCCATGGAGCGGCTCTTGGTGCCCACGAAGAGCTGGGCCCAGCGGATTGGCATCCGCAAGATGCCCGGGCACCGAACGCACCGGATGGCCTACGGTGGTTAGGGGAGATGAAGGAGTCAGGCGGATGGTTGGGAAGAGTGAGGTGGGGAATTGATGGGAACAAAGACCATGAGTCAAAGACGATGGGCTGTAAAAGCATCAAAAGCATTCAAAAGCAAAGGCAAAGAATACATGAACTATACAACCTAGATTCTCTTCACCCCAAACATCCCCAAACCATTTTCCCCTCGGGGCCTGGCAGTTCTTTGGGGGGGCCCTTGGGTTCCTTTTTGAGGAAGCGGCGGATCGGTTGCCGTCGTCCACCGATCGGAGCCGCAAAGATCATCCAAACAGGTCCCGAAGGCCTCAGTGGACTGGGTGGGGCGAAGCGCCGCAGCCAGCCTTATGTTTTTGTTTTTTGTCGCGTGTGAAGACCATGGAAGACCCGGATGTTTTTGGATTCTGGAGCACCCTGCTGGAGGATCTATCTATATACTGTATCTATCTATATATACTGAAGTTGGAAGCTCAATGCGATTTGACTGGAAGATGCTCCTAGGCCCGACCTACGTGAGCAGCGACGCTTGCAGGCGGACAGAGCCGCCCGCCTCGACATGGAAGCATCAGGTTACAGTGGCACAAACACAAAGATGTCCTTTAGATGGCGGTCCACATCAACCACCGATCTTGGGGATTGAAAACACTGTATCAGTTTTTAGAATACTTGAGATATCTTAAGCGTGACAACACCCAAAGTTTCTGCAAGAAATGACTTCAAACGTTAGCTTCCAGGCCTTTCCCGGCCATACCGCTTCATGCCCCCCTAAGTGGAGATGTTCCAAACAATGGGAAGTCCGACGACTTCACTTTCGCACGGAGGGTCGACCGGTGGACCCAGTGGAAAAAGATGTCACCCACAGTGACGCCCTTGATCTTGTTGGCAGGATCCACGGCCAGAGGCCGGGCAGGAGGGTGGGGAGGGCATTATGACATGGAAATAGCCGGTGGGCACATGTTTGGGGATGTTGGGACTCCTTCTTGAATCGAACGTTGGGTCATGTTGGGTCAAGATGCCCCTCCTCTACGATGCGGAAGAAGGTTCGTTTCCGAGCGGTGGCGTCTCTAACCTTTTTGGTTTGTTCGACCAAAAACACGAACATGTTTCCTGGTTTGGCGAGCACCTTAGTCTTTTGGGCAGGCTGATGTTGGCTGAAGACTGTCATTGGGTGAAGTTGCGCATGCTAGAACAGCGATTCCACAGCAGATGGGCGCAGTGTTGATTGTGCCATCCCCAAGTTGGTGAAGAAATCCATGATTTGGCACAGACACTCCAACCTGTCCCGCTTGTTCACCTCATACCAGTGGCGATCAAAGGAACAGCAACATCAACTCCAATCTGTTGAGGTCTCATTGGTGAGGTCTCAAGGCGGTGGAGTGAACACAGTTCGGAGTCCCGGTATGTCCCGGTCGATGGGAGAGACATCTTCGGATCCGAGGTGATCCGAGTCCACGGAACCAGTCGACCTGGACTGGTTCAGGGGACCGGACCGCCACGGTCACCGTCAGGCACGGCAGAGCTGGTCTGGGCGCGGCGCGAGCACCGCTGTTTGGGGACCTGGAGTGCCGCCCCTATGGTGTCGGAGGCGGTGTTCCATGGTCCGTTGATCGGCTGCGTGAACAGGTCCTACTCTTCAGCAGACATACATACCCCCCCCCCAAAAAGAGAATTGACGGTCCATGTTAACCAGACATGCTTTTGAAGGCGCTGTTCCATGTAAGCAGAAAAACAAGGCCCCCAGAGGGCTAACGTAGCACTTAGTGCCTATCCAGGATTCCATGTTAGTGGGTTTTGTGCCTGGCAGGTTCCATGTTAATGTAGTTTCAGAGCCCGGGAGGGCGGGCATATGTGGGTGCAGATATGCACTGTACTGAGTCTGAGTCACAATGATGGATTGTTGTTTGTCACAGATGCCAAGCAATTACTGTAGAATTGCAGATGCGATTGCGGTACCTTGAAAAGCATCCTGGTGATGAAGATGCTGAGAGCAAAATTGCAAGTTTAGATGCATGCATTAGCACAGTTCCCTTTTAAGCCACTGTACTGTAAAGCACTTGTTTCTACTGTACTGTAAACTGTACTGTACTTTATTTCGAAAAAACAAACATTATACCAGCGTAGACCCCAAACAGAGCAATGTTCAAAAAACGAGATCTCCGAACAATATGGCCAGCAGTATTTCCTAGAGGAAGAAAACTGTAGTCCACCATGTAGACGCACATACAAGATTCAAAGGGAAAGCATTAAAATTCTGTTTTTCATTGACTTTGCAATGGGACGTCGTACAAGGGCTAAAACATGAAATTTATGGATCCAGGTTGTGACTCAGAGCATCCAGAGCTTACTGGGAGACAAGTGGGAGACAAGTGT